CAAAATATATGAACTTCATATATTTCATTGTATCTCATTTATCACTTTCACGGGTTTATTACGAATCAACTTAACGGCCTGCTCCCAGTTGGCTTGTTAGCTCAATTGGTAGAGCGCTGCACTAGTATCGCAGAGGTCAGTGGTTCGAATCCCGTACAGGCCTGATTTTTTTCAGGTCTGATTTTCGCTATTGCTTAAATAGCGCTATCTACTGCGAGGATCGTGTATCATATGTATCTAATACCGCAGTTCAAAATATATGAACTTCATATATTTCATTGTATATTATTCAAAATGAAATAAATACCTCGCCGTCCACGCTTTGTCCGTGAAGATAGCCGGTGTTGGCATTCCTAGGTAACAAAAATAAAAAATAAATAAATAAACATACCAAACCAAGAACTGCAAGACTCTGATTTTGTCGACATATCGGCAATTCATATCATAAAATACCCAATATTGATAAGCGTGACAGACGATCGTTTTAACTTTGTAAAAAGGACACAAGGGACACAAGTAAATTCATCTTAAATTTAACAGCAAAAAAAAAAAAGAAAATAAGTTCTGTTTGGAAAGTTGGAAGATAGATCCTTTTCAGAAAAGAGAGTAAGAAAAACAGAGAGAAAGAAACAAGAGGAAAGAAAAGAAGCAGTTACATAAGATTGCATTTGCGACATCGTGTGTGTGTCACGCATGACTGGTGACGTAACACAATCACAAATGTACAGTTGACACACCAGCTGCCATCAAATTTTACTGATTTGCATAATTGTGAGTTACGCAAGGTCGAAGCAACGACACTTAATATTGCGACGGCTTCTTTTCTGAAACTTTTATACAACCCTTGACAAAAATTTATATCTACATGTTTCCTAAAAACAAATTACTTTCAGATTCGGAGTTTTCATGCCTATTTTATCATCAATGAAGGCAAAAAGTACAGCGTGAAAAACACGTGGGTTTAAACGTCGCGTGGTTATTCAAATTTTCCAATAAATACTTCAAAGTTTTCGAAGGCCAAAATATTCGATCGGCGAGGGGAACCTTCGTATGGCTTTCACCTATATCGATTTTATGCCCGTCATGCGGAATTGTAAACAGTGCCAAGGGAAATCGTCTTGTTGACAGGAAAATGTAGTTGTGTTACAGACAGCGTTGTATCCATTTCGAAAAGATATCTCCCCGATAACGACTTTCCTCTCGAGGTTCACCTATTCGTACTACCATATCCGGACAGTGACCTGTTCCTTTTGTTCAAATTATCAGATAAACCTCAACCGCTCTGAATGCGATCACCTCCTCCCAATCCCCGCTAACGGAGGAGAGGGAACGGTCATCAATCGCCGCCAACCGATTACCAATAAGGCATGGTCGGCGACGTGCTTCGCGCTCAAAGGTGAACGCTATGCATCGTCATCACGGTTGATGGTGTTGTCTAAGTTGGGTAACAAAGACGGGACGCGTACTATAGAAATGATCCTAGTAAGTACGGTCTTAACAAATACAATGTAGACTCGAATAGTAATTTTATCTCTAGATCGCACAGATATGGGAGAACGGGGTTACTTTAAACCTGCGCATGCGTAGATGAGACATCACGAGGCTCAGGCCGCTCCACTGTGTTACGTTGCTTTTACAGTTGTAGTTTCTTTGACAAATTAGCGAACCCATACGTTTATCGGTTGTAATCCACAATAAGACACATACGTAACAGAAGGAAACGCCAACAAATTATCTGTGAAATGTTCAGCAAGCAACCGTGGACGATAATCCTGCTCTTGTACGTTGGATCAACAGTGATCTAATCGCCCCAAAATAACGAATATAAATATAGAGGCAAGACCGATACAACGTAGACAAGTTTTAAAACGGAGCACTATCGCTGGTTTGGCCAGCCGAAATATAGTCTATATTTATATAGAAAATTATCGCCGTTCGAGTTAAGGGATCATATCATAGACCGAAAATTAATTTCTGAACATTGTTTAAAGACAAATTGTCGTTTCCGATGGTTAAAATCACTTCATTACCTTCGGAAGCTGCTAGCAACCGAAGCCCCAGCAAGTGACGATCAATTCCTGAACGGGAAAAGAAAAGGAAATGTCAACTGCTTGATTATTCTTTAATTTTTGCAAACCTGATACTCTAAGGGATAATTTGTGACAGAAACATGAATAGCTTTTGTTCTCACTTTACCTTGGCCATTAACGGCCTCCCTCATAAGTGAATCGTGTGTTGTAAAAGCTTCACGAAACAGTCGCATTTTCGTCGACTTCTAAAAAACAAAAAAAGGAAGTAAAAGTGACTAGCATCTAGTGACTTGTTTGTCCTTACTAACTCAAACATTAGAGTCACGAGAATATAGGAAATGATCACCAACTAAAAAAGCTCTTGATTGTTAAACAAATTCTTTTTGTCAGTACCTTAGTAAATGTGTGCAGAACAGAATATGCATATTCGCGTAAAGGGTTAAACGGGCATTACACGGTTTATAAATATATCTTTGAGAACACTGGCGCCTAAGCTAATTTAAATTACGTGATCTTTACTGCCCAAATTGCAGGAAAGTCCCTTACATTGGCGTTGCCATCGAACATTGCTTTACACCAAGCCACTGATTCCATGGTACATGAACGAACCTGAAACAAGAAATCAAAGGAAGAGTTCTTTCACAGTTCAAATTTCCTTATATCCTCCAAATCGGAAGTTGGTTACTTTCAAAACAGGGATTAACTTTCTAAAGAAACTGTGGCGCTGGGTGCATAGGGAGTATTACAAGATGATTCGGTTCTATTAACTGAGTTGAGACTGTAAATTGATCAAGGTGAAGAGTTTCAAAGCTAATACGCGTTCGCCAGTCGTCAAAGCAAATTACTCTTTACGAAAGCCAATTTGCATCACCAACAACTCAGTTGATAAAAACAAATTATCTCGCTTTGAAAACGTCAAAGTTAAACTCGCCCGCCCGTAATTAGCAAATCTATCTTCGACATCGCGCGAGGAACCCAGGTTTGATAAGCTTCTAGCTTCTGCTGGGCTTCCTCGCCATACTTTTTATAAATGATCACAAAAAGTCATTTTATATTCAATTAAGTATAGATTGTTGTATAATGATATCATTATTCGTATATGTGCACGATTGTTATTATTTTTGATTGTTGTAAATAAACAACTGTAATTTATTTGTGTTTGTGTGTGTGTAAGTGGCAAATGAATAAATAAATAAGAAGAGGCTTGTTCTGGAATTTTGCACTGTGGACGAAACACTACCACCTTTAACATTTTTGACTGGGAGTTAACCCACTCTGGGCCGTGGGATTGATTGAACCTCGTTCCCAGGGTCTCTCATCTTCTCGCCCCCTCTCTCCTCGCTCGCTCCAGGGAACGGGAAGATGAGAAACCCCGGGAACGAGGTTAGGATTGATTTGGCAATTTACTGAAAGGAGATCAAACTCTTTGATCCAGAGTGCAGAATCGAATTTGAAATTACTTCCTTTGCAGCATCTGATGTCGGAAACCAATACCTGCTTATCAAAAGGCCCATAACAACTAAGTTGTTGAATATAAGCGTATGGAAACTCACTGTTTCTGTCCGTCCGTGGTAAAATTGACGAGTCTGACCTGTTTCATAAGTTGACGCAGGTCTGAAAATAATGACAAATTACAATGATTAGTTGTAAAAAAAGATTTCTCTTCGACTAGCAAACAAGAGCCGGCCAAAAGCAAACATGAAAACAAAAGGCAGCAGCTCGAATTTATAAGGGGCTAAGTTTCTACAGAAACTGTGCTGCTGCGTCAGTGGGGGTAACAAGGTAATTTGGTTTCACCAATTGAGTTGATAAAGTAAGTTGGCCGGCGCCGTAAAGGGGTTTCAAAGCTGAGGTTTCGAGCGTTAGCCCTTTTTCATTCGAACTGACGAAGGGCTAACGCTCGAAACGTCAGCTCTGAAACCCTTTACGGTGGCCAACTTACATTATCAACTCAGTTGATACAACCAAAAGCTCCAATTTATAATTGTGTAGATGGAGCTGACTTCTGAGCTAACACACGTCCTTACTTTCGATGCAGCCTGTAATACGCCAGTTGAATTGCCATTTGAACAAACGTGTCTGGGTGAATCTTGTAAGGCTTAATAAAACCTTTTCCATACTCGCGTGCTGTATGCACGATGATATTTATACTGTCAGCCTACAATGAAAAAGGGAATTATTCAGAAATCGAATTTGGACATTGAGGAACACAGAAGCCATACTTGCCAAGGGTCGCTTTGGAACCGATGTTTTTAAATTCTCATTTTTTAATCGCATTATGGATTTATGGAATGACCTGCCTGTAGCTATTAGGACAATTGATCGAGTATCATTGTTTAGTAAGAGAGTGAATCAGTTTTATATCAGTAAATTTAACTTAAGTAAGGATAAATTTTTATAATTTTTGATTACGTATTGTTGTTGCTATTTGTCTAAGTTAGTTTTTAATTTTTTTGTATTTTATCATAGGCAGTTTAAGGAATCTAGAATTCTGTATAAACTGGCCTAATTACTCAGATATCTCTTTTTTATACTTGTATATATATATTTAACTCCTTGCTTTTGTTTTTGTTTTGATTATCTGTGTAATTGAATTTGAGTAAATAAAATAAGTAAATAAATAAATAAATAAAGAAAAAGTGGGTGGCCGACAGATCAACGACGGGTCAAAGCCGACAAACGGTGAACAGTCAACTGTAAGCCGACAGAAGGGGGACAGTCGTCAGACATACACCCAAACGACAGACAAACGACTGTAAGGTGGCCGATATTTAGCCGACAGAAGACTTACAGTCAGCCGCCAGACGAATGAGGCATTTTCTAAAGGTACTGTGCTCCAATTAAACAATGTACTAAGCAAACCTTACGATGTCTATCAACTTCAATGTCAAAATAAGCGCTTCGAGGTTAGTTTGATTTTACAAATAGATTCCGTGTTTCTGTGCGTCTGCTCAGTTTTTCTGTGATCTGTTACCGTATGTATAGTATTAAATATATTAATCAGTAGTTTCACTAGCAACCTTTGTGGCTTCCCTTGGTGTTGATGTGTGGGATCCCATGAAAATGGGTTCCCACTCCACCGATGAGTAATCTCGTGATCAGTGGGTAAAAAAGGAACAAAGCGTATGCAAGGGTGGGAATGAGTGTGTAAAATGAACATAAAAGTTAGGTGTTAAAATTGAGGGACCGACTTCTGTAACAACAGCACGCTCCTAAACTCAAATTAAAATTGTAAAAAATATATGTTATATATTATTAAAATAAAAAATAAAATCAAAATAAAATAAAATAAAATGAAGTTTCTGTGCGTCTGTTCAGTTTTTCTGTGATCTGTTACCGTATACTGGCACACGACAACATAGAATCTAACTTATTTTACATGATCAAAAAAAAAAAAAAGAGACAATCGTCGTTAATGGTGATTTCATCTATGTATCTGTCCTCCACTAGATCATAAGTAAGAGCCAATCAAAATTCGTGCAAAATTCAACTTATCACACACAGGGCTCAACACTAATGGCAGCCCACTAGCCACAGACTGGTAGAAATTCAGTTTTGGCCAGTGGTTTTCGATTTCCACCAGCCAGTTTGGCTGGTAAAAAAACTGAAATTGTTGTAACATCTGAGTTGCCACTAGCCACTCGGCTAGTAAGTTGAAAAGTTAGTGTCAAGCCCTGACACAAAAAATAATAGATTCGCTCACTGCTTCCTGATATTTTTGAATGGCCTGATCAACCGCTCGGTCAATACCATCATCAACCTTAAACACCAGTTCTTGAGGTTTATAGTAGTTTTTCACTTCTGGATTTCCCTGATGAAAGAAAAAAAAAATAGACACAGTCATGTAAAATTTGTTGAGATAACGTGAGTTAAACGAGGCTCAACATTAATACAGGTAATCAAATCTTATAATTATTTAACTCTTTAACTCCCAGAAGGGATTAACATGTAACTTCTCCCAATAATATCCATAGAATATCCAGCAAACAGGTAATGAGAATATTCAATCTTATCAGGTAAGCGTCACCTTGATTGAACACCAAATTCTTGTAGCCAATTTACAAGGAAATATGCAACAGCAGGAGGGGAGAATTAACAATCAGATCTTAGGAGTTCAAGGCAAGGGCGTAGCCAGGGGGGGAGGTCCTGGGGTGCCCGTGACCCCCCCTTGGTAGGTCTTCTTTAGAGCAAACAACCTACAATATTCAGGTGGCAAAAATGCCATGACAATATCTTGGCCGTAAAAGCCATTGATATGGAACTTGATGCCGAGATAATACGACTGAGCCCGCTGATACAAGCGGGAGAGCAGCGGTGTAAATGGTGAGTAGCCTCTGTGACCCCCCCCCCCTTTGAAAAATCCTTGCTACGCCCCTGCAAGGGTTAGCAAATTGTAACTCTGGATCTATAGACTTAGCTACCTTCCATTCTCCACCTTTTTCTGCAAGATATTTTATTGCCGAAATAAAAGAATTTATTTCCACAATACCATCAAATGGAGCGTGCTGAAACATAATAAAAAGATGGTTTGAAAGATGGCAATTAGGCAGTTCTAGAGAAAGTGAGAATTTTAAGATCTTCGGACCTGGGATGGAACTTTTTCAAACAAACTAAATTTCCCTCTAGCTAATTAGCTTGCCAGGGTTGTCATTATCCCAAAAAGAGACTGGAATCTACCTTCCAATATCATCCCTGAATCACATATAAAGAGACAGTCAACATTTACTCATCACCTCACAGGTTTAATACAAACCAACATTATAATGACCAGCTCCCAGTTGGCTTGTTAGCTTAGTTGGTAGAGCACTGCACCAGTATCCCACAGGTCATGATGGGTTCGAATCCCATACAGGCCTGAATTTTTTGCTGAAATAACTGCTTAAATAACTAGTGTTCATTACTGCGAAGACCGCTCTCATACTCATAAAAGGAATGATCACAAACTAAAGAAGCTTTTTGATTGTCGAATAAATTCTCCTTGTAAGCAGCTTAGGAAATGTATAGAGAAAAGTATGGAGAATAAGCATACCAATAATGTGGTGTTCAAGGTTTGTTTTTCATTTTTTAATTTGGAAAATAATTTGGAAGAGTATCAGAGAGAGAGTAGCTGGACAGAAAAAAAAAAAAAAACCTGAAGCAAATTAAACCTCTCAATGTCTAGTGTGAGGGAAAAAAGGTTGTGTTTCCTGGAAATGGTAACAAGGTTCTGCTCCTAATTTGGGGATCCTGGTTTGTACACTTTTCAGATCAGCAAGACAAATAATTTTATAACATAACCAAAGTAAAGCGCGTGCTCTGATTGGTCAATTTAGCACCCCCCCATTTGCCCATGGGTGTATGCTGCTGACGTGAGCAAATGCAAAGACTATTTTTCTGCGCGCGCTTGTTTTTTCTGGTCATGTAAGATTTGTTAAATAAAAGGGAACTCTTTAGCTACAATGTATCAATGTTATGTTATAAAACAAATGGTAAACACCACAGCATACACTATTGAGTTATGGATGCACTTGGGAGGTTTGCTAAGCACTCAAGAAGCTAGAGTCGCTCTTGGCTATCGCCTCGAGCGACTCTTATGCTTCTTTCGTGCTTAGCAACCTCCCACGTGCATCCATAACTCAATAGTGTACGCTGTGGTGTTTACCATTTGTTAAATATAATAATTATTATTTGCTTCTTTGCTGAATTACTTGAGTAAGCACAGGGTCCTTACATCACAGTGAGTAGCCAGCATGCCAGATTTGAAGACAATGATATTCACAGACTTATCAAACCAACGGTTTCTACAATCTCCAGTAATAGCTTGACTGCAAACCTGTCACAAGAGCGTTCAAGAAAAGAACCGTTATCAGCAGACTGAACCCATATAATTATAACAAAAATTAATCTTTGTTGTTACTTTGTAATAAATAATCAAAATATCTACCGCAATTAAAAATACACCATTTCCAAGTTTACCTCAGTTTTAGTGACAGGGCTATTTTCATCAAGTACCAAAACAAACAAACTTGTTTCAATGGTATCAAGAATGCTTTGGTTATTGTTGTCTAATGCTTTCAATCGTTCTCGTAACTGAAAAATAATATGTAGGAGAAAATGCCACACTCAGTTCATGTCCTACAGCGTATAGCAGTGCAGACTGAACCAACTAAAGGATGTTTTCATTTCAGTTTGAAGGTCCTCAGCCGAGACATTCAAAATTCAACCATCTGTTTCATTCAATATATTTTCATTGTATTATTTTTATTACTTAATTTATCACTGTCACTCCATTTGAGAAAAATAAATATAATACCAGACTAAGTTAAGAAAGCCTGCACTTTATAAGACTAATAAAACTTTATAATTCCCATGGTTTCTCTGGCCTTCCTCACCATTTCTCTCCAACCTAATATTTGTAGTTCTACAGTGTCAAAAACAAAAACCTCAGGCACCTTTGCTGCCAGTTTAGATGGCTCAGCTGCTCAATTCTTCTAGGTACATATAAACCAGCAGTTATACAGGACTACACACTGGCTATTGTGTATTTAATAATTCTGGAGTGACCCGGCCCTCCTAATGGCAACTCGATCGCCATGCTAAGATGTTGGGCATTTGGAACTGATACTAAAAGAGTTTCATACCTCGTGCCAGGTATCTCTCATTTCTCCAGTCAAACTGCCGATTCCCATTCCTTGGGATCCTGAAAAAGCTATGGATTCTATCTCTTGAAGTTGTCTGGAAGGCAATGAAACTTTTAGAAATTAATTTTCAGTAAAACAGAGTTGCATATTTTCTGTCTGTCATTCATTTGGAAATCTATGGACTTCCTCTATAAATATATTGATTTGCTATGATATCAATACAGTTTAAGTGTTTCTGATTCAAAATATAAGCAACAAATCAAACACAAGAAAGAACAAAACAAAACAAAGAACGAACAAAAAAAAAAACAAAAAAAAAAGAATTAAAAATCAAGCTAAGGAGACACACAGAAACCAATTGAAAATGAAATAATTATATGACTACAACCTGCAGCAAGTTCACAGGTAGGCCCCCCCACCCCTCCCTCAGCATTTTATCATGCTTCCATGACAATTCACTGTTACCCATTCAATCTCCTGGGTGGAGAGAGGCTTAGTTTAGTTTAGTTTATCAGCTTCGCCAAAAGGCAGGAACACCACAACAGCTTGTGCCAATTACTGAGGGCCCAGTAAACCCACCCATCCCACCCCAGGGGAGGACATCCACCACACAGTAATCTCGTGCGTGGGAAATTAACGTCTCCTACTCCTAACCCTGCAGGAGACGGGGCCTATGGTTTATTCGTCCTTATCCGAGAAGACTACAGTATCTATCCATTTCTTGATATTATAGAAAAGGTAGCAAATTCTCCTCAGTTATTTTAAGACCATGAGTATTGGTCCGGCCGGAGCTCGAACCCTCGACCTCCCGCACAATATGATCAGGCGCTCTTACCAATTGAGCTAACCAGGAGGCACTGTGAGAGGAAAGTGTCTTGCCCAAAAACACAACACATTGACCCAGCCAGGTCAAAAACCAGGACCTCTCAAACCAGAGTCCAGAGCACTGACCATAAAGGCCACAGTGTCTCCCACACAGTGGTTTGGGTCAAGGGAGTTTAAAAATTGCAATTGAGTTCAAATTCCCCCTCCCCCTCCCCCACAAGAATTGTTTTTTTTTTTTTTATTATGCAGTGGTTTACCTTTCAATTTCTGTTGGTGAGAGAGGCTCCATATTTTCATCCAGCACCATACAACTAAAAATGTGTCCCCTGACTTGCACAATAATGTGTCGAGGTGAACTGTGAGGGGCTAATCAAGAATCATCACTAAATTTGTACAATTCATGTAAAAAAAATAGAGGATTTGATGCTGTTTAATGCAATTTAACGGAGTTAACAACAAAGAGCATCAGTGTTCTCTAGTATAATCAGTGGTTTTTGGATATGCCCATATGTCGCAATTCCACAAGCTCTTCGATTGAGGTGTTTCTACATGTGCTTTGAGCATCACTTTTCAGCATAGTTTGGAGTGGCACCTCATCATTCAGGCAGTTTTCCCTTCCCCTTTCCCTTCCCCTTTCTCTCCCTCTTTCAATTATAATAATAATATTTAACGAGGGAGCCCAACTCGCCATAGTGGTTTTCAGTGGGATGGGTGTGACCGGTGCCTGTTTCCCTGTTTCCCTTTCCTGCGTGGGGGCTCATGGCTGGGTTGCCAGGATTTGCCAGTCATGGGAGCAGTCTCCATCCAAGAGCTGGCTGCCAATAGTGGAAGCTCCTGGATGTCTCAGGTACCCAACCTCCACTTTGCAATGCAGTTATTAAACTGCATTAAAAGTTTATAACCAAATGATAGCATTTTGGTCACAGAGAATCAGTTTTCTGTTCACAGCTGTAAGTTAAAGCCATTATTTGATTGAGGGGAAAATTAGATAAAGGTTAATTTGATTTTAAGGGGTGCAGGAGCCCAGCTGACCTTACCCTATACCCAACACAGTCCCACACATTAAGCTTCATGTTTATCAACACTCTGACCCTTTAGAGCAACCTATTTTCTCCTTACAATATCACCCCTGAAACACACATTAAGGTCATGAGAATAAAGAAAATGATCAGCATAAGAGTGACCAGTATCTAATTTCTCCTTACAATATCACCCCTGAATCACACATTAAGGTCAGGAGAATAAAAGAAATGATCACCAACTAATTAAAGAAACTCTTGATTGTTAAACAAATTCTCCTTGTAAGCACCTAAGGAAATGTGTAGAGAACAGTATAGAGAATATGCATACTGATGCAAATTGAGAGTTTATAATAAATTGTGTTTTTACCTGTTACAAAGTTAGTCCTTAAAGAGTCCTTTTCTTTTCCAGGAATTTTACAACATGAAAAGAGTCGAGTAAACTGAACCATACAGAGGGGAGTTGAACCCATCCTCTCAATGGGCCTTTCCTCTCTGAAATAGATAGGGGAAATAAAGATTACCACTGCTAAATAAATAAGACATCTGACTTGTTCTTTAAATGGAAAATAGGTCACCTGTATAGCTCTTGCCAGACTTTAAGGAATGCATGGGTAATTATAGCAGCTCTCATGATTTGGGTTCCAGTTTGGACTGGCCACATGTCCGTCATAGGAATTGGTCCTCCAAAGTTAATCATTGGGGCAGAGGGATTTCTAGGTGATAAGTATGCAACATCTTCCCACCATTCTTCAAGCTTGTTGAGAAATGATATACAAGAAATGAGACAATGAAAGTTACAAACGGTGCATTTTTTGGCATACAGCAGGTGTCTTTAACTGGAGCTGGTACAACCCCAGAGGCTGCTGACTTATACAGGGGACACTGGAGTTGTGTTCATAGCAACTTGCCCAGCTAAGTTGAAGTAATACTAATAGAAATTTACAACTGTACATGCAAATGGGACAAAGCAGACATGAAAACTGAAATTGTTCTCAGCTACTAACAGAAGTTTATATTTTGGTAGCCAGTGCTGATTCATTCTTTGAGATCATGAGAGTAAAAAAGGAGATGATCACGAACCTTCTCTCGGCTTGTCAGTAGCCAACAAAATGTAATACAAGCAATGTAATACTAGCAAAAAGCATAAAGAATATTGGATACAGATGTTAGGGCTCAGAGGGTTACCAGTAAGTTGAACTGTCCACCTTTAAGAATGTCAACAGTGGTCTTAGATGCTGACAGATGTACACAATCATTATACTTCAAAGCACTGAGTTGCTTCTTCTTTATGGCAAAAACTGCCTGCCATAACTATCACAAGATCTATTTACCCAATTATGCATGCTGCTTGCTCTCATCTGTAGCTTGTTTTGAAGTTCTTTTCCCACTCCACTGGCAAATTCATTTACCAAAAACTGAGTCTGAAGATACTCTTTTGATGTCAAGTGAGGCTTTACTGTCATGAAAATAATAAGAAATTAAATTACAGCTGAATGTTTTAAGAGGTTACTGTAGAAGGATACAGGGGGGTCTAGAGCCCTGCAAAATGGGAGATGGGGGGGTATGAGCAGTAGCAGGGGAAGGGGGATTAGTCAGCAGTTTGTCAAACATTAATCTGCAAATTTTTAGAAAAGAATGGATATAGAACTGACACGTGTGGGGGGACAGGAAAGCATTATTAATTCCACAAGTGCACAATACTCAAACAATCTTATGAGTTATATCACTTGGCCTAAGCATCAATCATGAGTCATCTACCAAGCTACCGTCACATGCAAGGACAGTAACACTACTGAGACAAACATCAGATGTACAGAAAAGGTACAGAAACCACACTGCATCATTCTGACATGCAAAGCAAAGAAACTCTACTGAACTAAGCAAGCATATCAGTGGTCTCTTAAAGAGATTAACATTGACCACTCCATTTCTTAGCATATCCTTAGATCAAGCTCACCCTACAATTATAGCTCAAGCAAAAAATGTAACCTCTGCATTAAAGAAAAATTTCAAAAAAAAAGAAGAAATTAATCATCCGCTGACTTAACCCTCTAACTCCAGTGAGTGATCAAGAAGATAGAATTTCACCTTACAATATCAAATTGATATAATTACAGTATCAAGCAGACAAATAATTAGAAATGGGAAAAAAGAAAATCAGAGGATTATCAGTTGATCCAATACCAAATTCTCCAAACTAATATCATAAGAATTGTATGGCAGACAGTAAGGAGAATTGCTAATGAGATCTTGGGAGTGAAAGAGTTTAATTGTCTTCACTAAAATAATAAGCATAATTATAGTGTCTTTATGCTGTCATAGAAACAAAGCCTTGCTGTGTAACAACTGAACAAAACATTAATTAATCAATTAATATGTAAATTACATTCTAATCATAGTAGCTTATTGATGGTTACGAGTATTCCCAAACATCTCCAGTTTTCAAATTTACAGAAGTTGGCATCTCTGTGCATCTAAATGTTGTGGTTCAATTTCTTCCTGGATTAAAATTAAATTTTTCCTGTTCTGCAAATTCATTATCATTCACTACCACGCTAAACAAGCAAAAGAAATAAAATTCATATCAAATATAAAATTGAACTCATAAATACATATACCACCACTAATGGAAAAAAAATGAAATGTTACTTTCAATTACCATACCTGATGCCAAATATTTTTTACAAGTCTGTTCCAATGGAGGAAGTGGTAAGCTTGGGAGTTCATTTTGAAGCTGAAAAGTCTTTTCCATGTTTTTGTGCCGTGATGAAGCTAAATGAACGAAAAATAGAGGAAGTAACACCTAGTACTATTTAAATCTTAATAAGCTGCATATTATACACACTTTCTGATTTGTTCTTGCTGAAGATCAGTAGAGGACCGACCGACACATACATGACATCACCATTGACCGTTTTTTTTTTTTGCTTCGATCATTATTATTTAAAACAAAGCAATTCCAAACTGCTGTTGGTTTGTCAAGTAGTATATATCACAGATGAAAATACTTCTACTAAATTGACCCAAGAGGTAAAATGTCGCAAGTTGATAAGGCCACCCAAAATCTTTGGGCAGGAAAATCCATTTAAGAGTGTCAAGACTAATTAGCTAGTAGCTAATCACCCATCACCTAGTATAAAATGTGAGGAGCTTTAATTTGCTCAAGAAAAAAATTCTTATCAGGGAAGCACTTAAATGTAGATTCATAGGCTTGTCAATGTAAAGCAAGAGAGCTCGAGAAGCAAGTGAAAGTCAGAGGTGTTTCACTTTGAAAGTGAAATTGATTAAAGTTGACAATGAAAATGTATATAGGCCCAAGGATCTGCTTAAAAACATGAGCCGAAAATGACAATGCCTGAGCTGCTCTATAATAATAATAATAATAATCAACTTTATTTAAAGAGGGTAAAACACATAACAGTATAAAACTGACAAACCAGTGGTCCTCTTAAAATATATTACAAATAAATTATTAAAAAAGATTAAAAACTAATTAATTATGGAAAAAGATCAAGAGCTAAAAATCTAAAATTACAAAGTTTATAAAAACTATAAGATAAAATGTTCTAATCGTTTATAACTATTCTTAAAAAAATCTAACATGGCCTTCTTAAAACATTTGATAGTAGGTTTCATTCTTATGTCCAGTGGTAAGGTATTCCAGAGGCGTGAGGTCGATACTGTGAAAGACCTACCTCCCTCTGACTCCCGTTTGAATCGGGGACAGACGAGGTTTAGTTGTCCATGTCTGCTTGATCTTTCATTTATGTCTGCATTTCTTACGAGCATTTGGGACATATAAGGTGGACAGTCCCCAGACAATCGTTTGTACACCATTAGTGACCTATTTACTTTTGCCTCATGAAAGAATGGAACCCAATCCAATTTCCTAAACAGTTGTACGCTATTCGCTTTAGTGTCAGCTCCGAGAATTACACGTGCCGCGCGTTTCTGAAGTTTAAAGACTTTCTGCAAATTCTCAGCAGAACAAGATGTCCATATGGTTGATGCATAAAGCATTGTCTGCTTGATCATAGCATTATAATAAAGTTTCCTTTGATCAATGGGCAAAAAGCGTCTTATTTTTCGCAGCACGGCAATTCTCTGCGATAACTTCGTGCATAGATTTTCGACATGTTGGTCGAAAGTAAGCTGGCTGTCAATCGTGACACCTAATAGTTTATGCGAGTTCACTTGTTCAAGTTCAGTAGAATTAACGTTTAACTGCAGGGTGGACTGTTCCATTTTCTTGGCTAACCGTTTACCAGTGACAAGCATAGATTTGGTTTTGGTTTCATTAAGGATCATTCTGTTGTCAGCTGACCAATTCAAGATTTCATCAATATCCGTCTGAAGGCCGACCGAGATATCATTAGGAGCCGTCGTNTTTATAACTATTCTTAAAAAAATCTAACATGGCCTTCTTAAAACATTTGATAGTAGGTTTCATTCTTATGTCCAGTGGTAAGGTATTCCAGAGGCGTGAGGTCGATACTGTGAAAGACCTACCTCCCTCTGACTCCCGTTTGAATCGGGGACAGACGAGGTTTAGTTGTCCATGTCTGCTTGATCTTTCATTTATGTCTGCATTTCTTACGAGCATTTGGGACATATAAGGTGGACAGTCCCCAGACAATCGTTTGTACACCATTAGTGACCTATTTACTTTTGCCTCATGAAAGAATGGAACCCAATCCAATTTCCTAAACAGTTGTACGCTATTCGCTTTAGTGTCAGCTCCGAGAATTACACGTGCCGCGCGTTTCTGAAGTTTAAAGACTTTCTGCAAATTCTCAGCAGAACAAGATGTCCATATGGTTGATGCATAAAGCATTGTCTGCTTGATCATAGCATTATAATAAAGTTTCCTTTGATCAATGGGCAAAAAGCGTCTTATTTTTCGCAGCACGGCAATTCTCTGCGATAACTTCGTGCATAGATTTTCGACATGTTGGTCGAAAGTAAGCTGGCTGTCAATCGTGACACCTAATAGTTTATGCGAGTTCACTTGTTCAAGTTCAGTAGAATTAACGTTTAACTGCAGGGTGGACTGTTCCATTTTCTTGGCTAACCGTTTACCAGTGACAAGCATAGATTTGGTTTTGGTTTCATTAAGGATCATTCTGTTGTCAGCTGACCAATTCAAGATTTCATCAATATCCGTCTGAAGGCCGACCGAGATATCATTAGGAGCCGTCGTATAATGGGTGGAGTAGCTAATAGTTGTGTCGTCAGCATAAATATCAGCCACGGAGTGCTGAAGTGTTGCAGGTAGATCATTAATAAAAACAAGGAACAAGATTGGACCTAATATGCTGCCTTGTGGGACTCCCAATGTTAAGGCCCTTTGGGTAGAATGGTGTCCGTCTATATTCACATACTGGCGTCTGCCACTCAGATAGTCACGGAACAGGGGTAGACTGCTCTCACCCACTCCAAGAGCCTTCAATTTTGACAATTTTGACAATCTTGCAAGCAAGATTTACCTTAATTGCTTTTATAAATTTGTAGCAAGGAAAGGAATTATTTCTTTGGTAGTTAGATGGAAGATGCTTAAGATCACAAGGTGTATCATGAACAAGAGACAAACTAATCATGGAATGATCCCTGACATCCCAGTTCAAACATCCACTGTCAGTAAGATGAAAGGCTCTTGGCAAGTTAGTGTGATTTCTAACTAAATGTATTGTACTAGTTTGCAGTTTCAAAAGCAGAATCCTTAACATGTAGTATTTTTTGTGTGTGTGTGTAATTTCTTACCTTTTCTCTTAGATAATCAGTCCTAAGAGAGATATCTGAGGGAAGAACCTTTAGAATCTTTCTGGTTCTGAACCAGAATCTGTCTCTCTTGGATTGTCAGTCCTATTATACTTAGGCTGTTATTATCAGAAGGCAGAACCTACCTTTCTTTTTTTTTTTCAGATAAACTGTAGAATACCTCCGGGGGGGGAGGACACCAATATGAAACAGACAGGGATGCTCGTCGTCTCGCTTAGGGGTGTAAATTTTGGATTTTGGTCTCGCTTAGGTTGTTCCAGGCAAAGCGCCAATATTTTAAGCCACCAAGGTCCCGTTTAGGGTTTCGCGAAGAAACACAGAATTACGCGAAGAGAAACAGAAGTCAAATTTTCTTTTTAACCTGTTTTGTTTGCCATATTACCTCTGTAATTATAAATCAAAGATTGGTCTCCTTTAGGGGTCACAAAAAGCTTGAGCCATGCCCAGATGGTCTCCTTTAGAGACTAAATTCAAAATTTCTGACGAGCATCCCCATCTGTTTCATATGGGAGTCCCCCCCGGAGAATACTTGGCCACTCATTGTCATGTCAGTGAAAAAAGCATCTATTGAGTTATGCCTTGTTCTTCAAAACCTCCCAACACATTGAAATGTGGTGAACCAAAGTGGTCAGGCATTCTGAAGTTGCTAGTCAGCCTCATTACTATAACCTTCTCTAACAGTTAATAATCGCCTGGTGGAGCTCAGACCTTAGCCTAATTTGCATATTTTTTTTCGGTGGGCAAGGCTCGATCGTTACGTTATGTCAACACTTCACATGATTCCTCACTTGCTATGAAATACAAGTATTTTTCTGATTTAGATTCTCTAAAAATTCCTGCAACAACGAGCTACTTTCTCCAATTTCCTTTCACAGGTTCATAGTGATTAGAAAAAGAAAGCAGCGACTGAATGTGCTACATATAACACAGTAAAAATTTCACAAAGCCCCCCTAGCCTGCCACCGAAAAGAAAACAAAATCGATCTTGGGATCCTTTACCTGAAAGACCACGGCTAGACATACACACCAGACGAACACAGCATCTTTCCAGAGAATTCGCTCCCAATCGTAATCCTAAACAGTGCATGAATGGCTGTTTTTCGTACCAAAGCTGGGCAAGTGTTAAATCGAACCTGTTACAATCGGGGCGGGAAAACTGGTAAACAAAAAGACAGTGGACGTCGAGGGACTGAGTACGAAAATATTAAAAGCATGGACGAACTTTACATCATTATCAATAGTTGAAACTTCTGCGCCTCGTTTACTGGTAAATTTTAGGTCGTCAATCAATAATGGCTGGCTTAGAGATTCTCTCTCCCGAAGGACTACGTCTCGATGGCCGGAGACCCCACGAACTTCGGAAGATGGTGTGTAGAATGGGGGTTTTCAAGCAAGCGGGTGGTTCAGCGTACATCGAGATGGGAAACACCAAGGCATTAGCTACAGTTTATGGTCCTCATGAAGTTACAAACAAGTCTAAAATCCTACACGACCGAGTGCTGCTAAATTGTCAGTTTAGTATGGCGACGTTCAGTACAGGAGAACGAAAGAAAAGACCAAAAGGAGACAGGAGATCCACAGAAACGTCCATGCTTATAAGACGCACATTTGACGCCGCTATTTTAACACAGTTGTATCCTCGCTCACAGATAGACATTTATGTGCAGGTTAGTAGAATATATTCATATACATCTAAAAGAGTGCAGTTGAAGTTAGTGGTCGTTACTTTGGGCCTTTGGGCCTTCCACAGGCGGCCCAAGCTCTCTTTGAGAACCACACAAGGAACACAATTTGCATATCGAATTATAAGGATTTGTGTGGGATTTTCTACAAGATATTCATAGAGATAGTTAAAAGTGAAAATATTAAATAAAAATGGCTTACCTTATTCCATACGTGTGTTGCATACGACCTTATTCCATACGACCTTATTCCATACGTGTGTGTTGCTTGCTCCTGGTGTCGTTATTTTACCGATTTCACTTGATTTAATCGGTTATTTTTAATCCAGGTTTT